GTCGGCACTTTATTGTTATCTTTCCAAACAGAGAGAACAGTTCATCATACGTCCCTTATTGCACGGTAATCAGCCCTGTTCTGCCTGAGCAGCGTTCGTTCCTCCTTACTGACAATAATGGAAATTAGTCAGAGTCAAAACTAATTACAGACACTTTGGTTAAACAGTAACATGAATAAATTCAAAATAGACGTATACCAAAAACCAATTAAAAGTATACAAACTTATCGCAACAGTATATTTATATGAATGCAAACAACAAAAAACATTATAAAAACACTTTATAAAATCAAAACAATTTCATGTACAGGTTTACTTGTTGTCCATAAATCTTGCCCTTCTGAGGCTTTGTGAAGGTAAATGTGTTTTTTTATGGTTTCCATGGTTCATGTATTTCATGTTTAAAAGAAATACCACAACTGTAAAAATTTGCATTTTCAAAAAAGGGAGGCAGTAGGCCCTTCAGAGTCGAGATCAGGTACCCTGCAGAGTGTCTGAGCATCGTGTCACAGACCAGGTGACCTGCAGATACTCTCAGATCAATGAGTGTAGACAAACACCCCCCCACCACCACCACCACCTCTAACCCGGTGCAGATACTTCACCGGGTTAGAGGTGAAAACCACTGCCAGGAAAGGGATGCACCTTTTACAGTATCTGATTGGATATGGGAGGAGGCATGATGGTGGGGGTCTCAGTGCATGGAGCACAGAGAGATTAGTGATAATGGGTTAAATGGACCAAAGCTTTGGTTGTTTAAAACTCTAAACACCATCATCCTGAAAAATGAAAACACAACTGATAATCTAAGCCTGATAGAAATGATTACTGTAATTTTCTGACTATAAGAAAATACTTTTAATCGTGAAGCTTATAGTCCGTTGAGACTTTGGGATTTTTCATGAGGATTTGTTTTGGTTTGTTCTGCTGTTGTCTTGCAGAAAGGAATGTGATCAGACACAGAGCGGCATGTTGGTCACAAGTCTGTCCGCCAGGCAAAGTGGTGGCGTACAAATGAGTGTGAAAAAGAAACTAGATTACACTGCAAAAAAATGTAAATCTCAATAAGTTATTTTTTCTTAAATTAAGTGCATTTTTTCCTGAATTAAGGAGGTAACTGCAACACTTTGCCAATGGAATAAGACAATTTACATTTAAAATAAGAAAAAACTATTGCATTGTCTTATTTCAAGTGTATAATATCTAGTTATCTTATTTTAAGAGTTAAAATACTCATTCCATTGGCAAATCATATTATTTTCCTCCTCAAATTAAGGGTAAATACACTTACTTTTAGACTTTTTTACTCATTTTTAGATAATTTTTGCAGTGTAGCCAGAGCAAGCGGAGTATTACAGGTGGAAAAAGAGGCTTTCATTCACAAACTCTCATTATGGCAAACAAAAGAAATGCATATGATGCAGATTTTAAATTAAAGGCAGTTGATTTGGCTCTCAGAGCTGCCGAACGTACCCTTGGTATAAACGAATGAATGGCGAGACGTTGGAGACGCCAGAATGAACAAGTGGCTCAGTTCAAAAAGGAGAAAAAAAAGCAAACTAACTTAGTTACTAACTCAGTTACTTACACCATAAGGTAATGCGTTACTGTGAAAGGTAACTATTTAGTTACTTTTTTTTTTTAAAGGTTCACATTATGCCCTTATAGCCTTAATTTCAGAAATGTTATTGCACTGGAGAATAATACCATCTGTTGAAGAACTTGACATGCATTTGCATCATGAAACTCTGCTAAGCAATTCTATATACAAGCAACAAAGATATGTTTCAAAGTGCCAATTTATTTCAGGGCAGAACAAACTGACAATGCTTTGCCTGCAAAATTGCCCTTTACAGCAGGTGGCCTGCTATAATTTGTTCCCCCCTTGTAACTTTAAGAAACAAAGGCCAATCAACTCCAAAGTTTCAGGAATGAATTGCCATCATAAAAGATGCTTATAAGCCAAAAATGAAAAAGCTGGGACCTTTTTTGTCTGATTTAGACAGGGGGAACAGATTACAGCAGGTTTTATTTCATATTGCCAGTTCTGGCAATATGGGATGAAATAAAACGGCTGATGTTAGAACACAAACTGTTTATTAAGGATAGTACAACAGTGATAAATTGTAAGTTAATATAAACACAAATATAGATTAAACTACTAAATTTCAACCAGGAAAAAATTATTTCCTTCTGCATATAGTCTTTAATGATTACAGGTGCACTCCATTTTCTATTTCATTTTTATTACAAGTATATGGTTTACAACAGTTTTCAATGGGATGAGAACATATGGACACTGTGAAACAATGAGAGATTTTTTAATGAACGTGTGGAAAAGAACAAGGATCTGTTTGCTTTCAGAGGGAGGAGTAGACACTGCTGTCAGCAACCAGCTTTCAAGCAAACGTTTGTGTTTTATTATGCTACGTTCAGACCGGACGCTGCAAAAGCAGCAAAATCATGTCTGCTGCTTCATTTTTGCTGCTTGTACCAGTTAGTTCTGACGCGCGGCTGAAGCAGCTTTGCTGCTCTTGCTGCGTGGTGCAAAAGTGTGTCTGATGCGCGTTGGGCGGAGCTTCACTATCCTTTCTCTGCCTTGCAGCTATATTTGCTGTGATCAGTGGGAATAAAGTAGTTTTAATATGTTTTTAAGTGAGAAAATACACCTGAAAACTTAATCAGTGCAGTCAGTTCATCCAGATTACAATCCTGTCTCCCAATGTTATTTCTGTCGGAGCCGCTCAGACCCCCACATACCGGCGGTGCGCCGACAGAAGGAAGCCCTTCAACAGTAGCCTCTGGACGGGTCGCCTCCTCGCGGTTCACCGCGGCGGCTGGTAGGTGTTTTTCATCTAAATAATCCGATCTGCAGGCAGCAGGATAATAAAAGCCATATATATATATATATATATATATATATATATATTTTAAGTTAATTATGCTTTAATAAACTGTTTAAGAGAAGTGATCAGAGCAGTCTGTGTCATCAGCGCTGTGTCTCTCTATGCCAGCTCCCAGATCAGCTTCTCTGATTGGTTGACGCGGCGCGTCGAGCAGCAAAAATTCAATTTTTCCATCTCGAGCAGCAACGCGTTTGCGGCGCGTCACGCACGTCAGATGCCAAAACGCGCCCGACGCGCTGCTTCAGCTGCTCAGACGTGCTGCGTCTGCTGCTCAAAACGCGCCGCAGGACCTTTTGCTGCGCCTTGACGCGCGTCAACCATTGACTTTGCATGTAAACTCGCTGCTTCTGTCGCGCCAGCTGCCCCCGGTGTGAACGCAGCATTATTAGTTTAAGATCAATATCACTGGCGATATTCTGCTATAACATGTGAAGAATAAAACAGTAAAGCTCAACTTTCATACATGTAAAACTTTTCAAATTTCAAGTTCTGCACGTTGGAATTGAGGCGGAGTTAAGTCGGGTTGTTCGTTCGCTCCCGACGAGGGGATACAAATTTTCCCAGGGATAACTACCTTGGCACGACACCGGTAGCCTCTAGCTTCGTCGCAGCATGTTGCTTTTGTAGGTGTTTCAACAGATTACAGTTGCTGTTCTGGGCTGTAGATAGAATCTTTGATCCAAGGCACAAATTGTAAATTAATGAGAATATCTCCAAGTGAAGAAACTCGACTTGGGCTCTGCAGCAGCCGCCATGATGACTAGTGTTGGTAAACACGAACACGCCCTCAGCATGTTTCCTTCCTGTCTCCCTCTCTCTAACACAGGAAGACAATCCTTCACTGCAGCTTTTAAGTCTCTAGCTGATCCCGAGACTATAAAATAGCGCAGTAACGCATCATGTAGTAATGTTAACGGAGTTACTGAATTTAAAAACTAACGCGTTAGCTTACTAGTTAGTGAAAAAAATACCGCCGTTACAGTAACACGTTACTTTGTAACGCGTTAGTCCCAACACTGGTCACAGATTTATGAAACGAAAAGGATTGTCCATTGGGGCACGGATGACTCTGTCAGCAACTCCCTCCTGACTACGCAGAAAAAATAACATACTTCTACAAATTCACACTAAGAAAGATAAACAAATATTCCATCGGAATGGATGAGATCATAAATATGGATGAGGTGCCTCTGAATTTTGACCTGCCTCTCACTGGGACTGTTAAGAAGTGAAGCGAATCATCCATCGCAGTGAGAACAACTGGCCATGAGAAAAACTGATTTCACTTCTGTTCTGAGCTGCACAGCATCTGGGTTAAAACAACTGACACCCTTTCTACTTTTCAGAGTGGCTCAGGTTATCCTGAGCTATCTCTATAGTTCTGCTGCTATAGGCTTAGACTGCTGGAGGACATAGGGACCCCTTTTTCATCATTCTGCTTCATTCTATCTCTATTCTCCCACTCTGCAGAATCTGTTAGTTCAATCTCTAACGTTCTGCTCTCTCTGCTTTTTCTCATAGTAGCTTCATCTGGTCTGTTCCTGTTTGGCTGTGACTCCATCCTGGAGAGAAATATCAGCTGTGCTGCTGCCATCAACACCTTTGTTTCTAGGTGTTGGAGCTTGGCCTGTTTTCCAGTGTAGTCCTGTTTCTCTGACTGTGACTAACTGGATGTGCTCTCTTCATCCTCTGACATGGGAGCTGGCTCGGAGCTCGTCTGCCTGGCTGTGTGTTTCCTGGACGGGGCCGCCTGTGGAGCTGGTTGACAGTTGCCTTTTGTATCTATGCTTCTTTTTCTATGTCTGCTTCTGTCTCCTTGAACCCCAGTCGACCTCAGCAGATGGCCGTTCACACTGAGCCTGGTTCTGCTGGAGGTTTCTTCCTGTTCAAAGGGAGTTTTTCCTCTCCACTGTCGCTACAAGCAAGCTTAGTGTGAGGGATTGCTGAAGAGTCAATGAGTCGATGCAATCAACTGGTTTTTCTTATAAAACTGAACTAAACTAACGATCTGATCTGGTTAATTCGTTCCAGAAAGTTCCTTGTGAGGACGTGTTGTGAATTGGTGCTATAGAAATAAACTGACTTCAATTGAACTCATTTTATTTTGGTTCCTTTATTTCTTTTCACACCATCAGCAGAAACATTCAGCTAACAAGGAGCCACATATTTATTTTTTATTTATTTTTTACACAGCGCTGAGCAGCTGTAAAAAAGGCAGCATGGATCACATCGAAGGAGCTAAATAGCCAAGAATTCGTATTTTGGAATAAAAACCTTTTTTGCTCTGATCAAATGTCACAGTTAAATTTTACAGTAAACAACAATAAAACAAAGAGGAAATAAAAGTATTTAGCTGTGAGCCGCAGCAAGTTTAAAGCACTTTAATCACTGATCATCGTCAGCAGCTTGATTTTTCTCATAATGCTGGAAGAGGCCTTCATGATGCTCTGACCCAGGCATGTCCAAAGTCGGTCCTGCAGGTTTTAGAGGTTTCTCTGCTCTAGCCAGCCTGCTTTCTTTGATTGCTGATTAACGGCTAAATTAATTAGCTCTGCTAGAGCAGGGAACCTATTGGCTTCATCAGGTCGTGATCTGCAGCTCTCGCTGGATCGGTTCGCAGCCGAGTGTGAAGCGGCCGGGATGGGGATCAGTGCCTCCAAATCCGAGGCCATGGTCTTAAGCCGGAAAAGGGTAGAGTGCCTTCTCCGGGTCAGGGGGGGGGGGTCCTGCCCCAAGTAGAGGAGTTTAAGTATCTTGGGATCTTGTTCACGAATGAGGGAGGAAGGGAGCAGGAGATCGACAGGCGGATTGGTGCAGCGTCTGCCGTGAAGCGGGCGCTGTACCGGTCCGTCGTGGTGAAGAGAGAGCTGAGTCAAAAAGCGTAGCTCTCGATTTACCGGTCGATCCACGTTCCTACCCTCATATATGGTCATGAACTCTGGGTCATGACCGAAAGAACGAGATCGCGGATTACAAGCGGCCGAAATGGGTTTCCTCCGTAGGGTGGCTGGGCTCTCCCTTAGAGATAGGGTGAGAAGCTCGGTCATCCGGGAGGGACTCGGAGTAGAGCTGCTGCTCCTCCACGTCGAGAGGAGCCAGTTGAGGTGGCTCGGGCATCTGTTTAGGATGCCTCCTGGACGCCTCCCTGGTGAGGTGTTCCGGGCACGTCCCACCGGGGGGAGGCCCCGGGGAAGACCCAGGACACGCTGGAGAGACTATGTTTCTCGGCTGGCCTGGGAACGCCTTGGGGTTCCTCCTGAAGAGCTGGAAGAAGTGGCTGGGGAGAGGGAAGTCTGGGCCTCCCTTCTTAAGCTGCTGCCCCCACGACCCGACCCCGGATACGCGGAGGAAGATGGATGGATGGATGGATGGAGAGCAGGGAACCATCAAAAACCTGCAGGACAGCGGCCTGCAAGGACCGACTTTGGGTATGCCTGCTCTAACCACTTAAACGTACTCGTTCCTATGATGGATTATGGACCTTCTATCATCTTTAAGGCTGGGAATACACTGTAAGACTTTCCGCCCTTTTCGGGCCCAATCTCCTATTGTACACTGTATGCCCAGCCTAAGATAGAACCGGACCATCCAACGACAGGAGGTCCTCCTCAGTCCCCAGAATAATGACCCAAACCCGATCAATGTTTCTAAGGTCCGCTCTGTTATTCATCAAAACAGGGTGAAGTTAACATGGATGAAAGTTTCCATCGCAGTTCTGAAGTTGAGACGGATCTTTGGGAGTCAAAAAGCTCAATCTTCCATCTTCTTCTGGGATTTCTCGGCTGTGTGAACCTTCTTCATGTGGAGCCTGACGTAGGTCTTCCGGTTGAAGGTGTTCCCGCAGACCTGGCAGCGGTGTCGTTTCTCGCCCGTGTGCGTGTTCCGGTGCTGCGTGAGGAAGCTGCGGTCGCTGAAGCCGCGGCCGCACACTGTGCACACGTACGGCTTCTCCTCTGTGTGGCACCTGGCGTGGCGCAGCATGTTCTGCCGGAAGTTGAATGACTTGCCGCACTCGCTGCAGGTGAACGGCTTCTCCCCGGTGTGGACCCTCTGGTGCACCTTCAGGTGGAACAGAGAGTCGAAGCACTTCCCGCACACGTCGCACACTCTCTTGCTGATGTGGGTTTTCAGATGAAGTTTGAGGTTTTCCTTCGACACGAACTGATTGCCGCAGACGCCGCAGAGGTCCGTGGCGTGGATTTTGGCATGATTCACCAGAGAGATTTTGGAGCAGAAGGTCACCCCGCAAACCTTGCAGGGCACCTGCCGGCGTTTCTTATTGGAACTGGTCTCACTGTGGTCACTTGGACCCACAGGGGCGCCTTCCACGCTGGACTTCTTGATGTGGATCAGCAGGTGCCGCTTGTGGGTGGTGTAGTCGTTGAAGGTTTTACCGCAGAAGCTGCAGGTGTAGGGCCTCTCCCCGGTATGGATTCTCTGATGCCGCACCAGGTGAGGCCGGGTGGTGAAGGATTTCCCGCACTCCGTGCAGACAAATGGCTTCTCTCCAGTGTGGATCCGCATGTGGATCTCCAGGTGTCCCTGGCTGTCAAAACACTTCCCGCACACGTCGCACACCTTCCCGTTTTTGTGAGTGTCCAGGTGAGCCGCTAAGCTGTCCAAGGAGCCGAGGTGATCGCCGCACACGTCGCAGAGCGCCGTCTCATGCTGTTTGCCGTGGTTCAGCAGGGACACCACAGAGTGGAACGACATGCCGCACACCTTGCAGACAGCGCGCGGTTCTCTGAAGGACGGACTCTTCCCGTCGCCGTTTTCGCACGAGGACTCTCCGAGGTGGCTGTTCTTGGCAGAGTGAAGGAACAGGTGGCGCTTCATGGTGGTGTAGTCGTTGAAGCTTCTGCCGCACACGGTGCAGGTGTACGGCCTCTCGCCGGTGTGGGTTCGGACGTGCCGCGCCATGTTGGCCCGGGTGGTGAAGCGCTTCCCGCACTCGCTGCAGACAAACGGCTTCTCCCCCGTGTGGATCCTCATGTGGATCTCCAAGCCACTGCAGCTGGTGAAGCACTTCCCGCAGACGCTGCAGCTCTCCGCCTTGACGTGTGTTTTCAGGTGAGCGTCGAACCTCTCCTCGCCATCGAAGCGTTCCCCGCACACGCCGCAGATGTCCTTGGAGTGAACTTGCACATGGTTCACCAGAGACACGGTGAGGAGGAAGGCTCTGCCACAGATTTTGCAGCAGATGGGAGACTTGTTCTTTTTGGTGGGGTTCAGTTTGGGGGCGACTGGAGGATGAGGAACCCTCTTGTTTGCCTTTGTCTTCTTCTTCTTGGTGCTAATTTGCCTTTTGGACTGGGAGCTTGACCTCCACTCCTCTTCGCTGTCAGCTTCAGAGGAAACTGCAAAGTCTTCCCCAGCCTCTTCCTGCTGGGCCGAGGTGCTCGGCAGAGGATCTTCCTCTTCCACTTTAACGACCGCCTCAATAAACCCGGTTGGACTGGTACCGCTCCGTAGATAAGGAGGCGGGAATTTGACCTGGATGATGCTGCTCTCCTGCAGGTCCGGACACCCCTCAGTCTGACTCCTCCCACCGATACTGGAGGCGTTCTGGTTTGACTCGGAGTCCGAGGCCAGATCAGGCTTTTCCTCCACCTGCTGATGATCAGAGGTGAAGTCCTCGTCCCAGACGGCCAGGCTCAACTGGAGCTCCTCTGCAGAAGAAATAAAGAAGAAGAAACCAGAACCAATCGCCGAATTAGCTTCAAATCAGAGAAAATGATCGTTAAAATCAGCACCTGTCAGTATAAAATATCCATTGTTTGACCAAAGTAGGGAAGCAACTATTTTGCAAGTCGATTAATCTGTCGATTATTTTTTGGAATAATCAATTCAGACAGCCAAAATTAAACCAGTTGAAACTGGTTAAACTGGAATTCTGGATTGAGCAGATTCAAGATGAAAAGCTTATTTCATCTTATGCAAAGTATTTGTATATTTCTTTATAATTTTGACATAATTCCGGCTCTAAGTGGGTCTCTGTCAGCTAAAGGCATATTTTACAGTCTCTATTCTTCAGGTAAGGATTAATCGATTATTAAATATTAAATCGTTCATTGAAATAATGAACGATTAATCATTTCAGCTCCTTACGAAACATTCAGCAGATCTAGAAAGATGCAGACAGGATGTCTTCATCAGCTGATTCAGCCCAGATCTTTAGACGACTGAGTCTGAATGAGACTTACAGGGTTTGATCTGATGTCAATCATTATCCCACACAAAGCTGAGATCAGTTTTACATTTTCTTTTTGGTCCAATTAAGAATCTGAACGGTGTGGAGGGTATCTGCCATCAGAACCGCTGAAGCAGAATTCTGTAGAAGTGCGTCTAACCCAGCAGTGATGTCTGCGTGTCCCTGCCGTTATTTTAACAACTTACAACACTAGGTTGGAATTAGGGCTAAAACCATCAGATTCATCGTGAAAATCAATAGTTGACATAATTGTAACTAATTTGGTAATCGATTAATCGTTAACTGGAGTATAAAACAATAAAAAGGTTAACTGATTTTTAAATGTTTCAGTTTAGTATGGGAAAAAAATCTGAATTCTGAGATTAAAGTCAGAATTTTGAGAAAAAAAGTCCTACAGGTGCTGGTCATAAAATTAGAATATCATGAAAAAGTAGATTGATTTCAGTAATTCCATTTAAAAAGTGAAACTTGTATATTATATTCATACATTACATACAAACTCATATATTTCAGATGTTTATTTTGTTTAATTTTGATGATTACAAATGACAACAAATGAAAATCTCAAATTCATCATATCAGAAAATTAGAATATTGTGAAAAGGTTCAAAATTGATGGCCCCTGGTGCCACACTCTAATCAGCTAATTAACTCAAACCACCTGCAAAAGCCTTTAAATGGTCTTTCAGTCTAGTTCTATAGGCTACACAATCATGGGGAAGACTGCTGACTTGACAGTTGTCCAAAAGACGACCATCGACACCTTGCACAAGGAGGGCAAGACACAAAAGGTCATCGCTAAAGAGGCTGGCTGTTCACAGAGCTCAGTGTCCAAGCACATTAATAGAGAGGCGAAGGGAATGAAAAGATGTGGTCGAAAAAAGTGTACAAGCAAGAGAGATAACCGCACCCTGGAGAGGATTGTGAAACAAAACCCATTCAAAAATGTGGGGGAGATTCACAAAGAGTGGACTGCAGCTGGAGTGAGTGCTTCAAGAACCACCACACACAGACGTATGAAAGACATGGGTTTCTGCTGTCGCATTCCTTGTGTCAAGCCACTCTTGAACCACAGACAGCGTCAGAAGCGTCTTGCCTGGGCTAAAGAGAAACAGGACTGGACTGCTGGTGAGTGGTCCAAAGTCATGTTCTCTGATGAAAGTAAATTTTGCATTTCCTTTGGAAATCAAGGTCCCAGAGTCTGGAGGAAAAGAAGAGAGGCACTTCATCCACGTTGCTTGAAGTCCAGTGTAAAGTTTCCACAGTCAGTGATGGTTTGGGGTGCCATGTCATCTGCTGGTGTTGGTCCATTGTGTTTTCTGAGGTCCAGGGTCAACGCAGCCACATACCAGGAAGTTTTAGAGCACTTCATGCTTCCTGCAGCTGACCAACTTTTTGGAGATGCAGATTTCATTTTCCAACAGGACTTGGCACCTGCACACAGTGCCAAAGCTACCAGTACCTGGTTGAAGGACCGTGGTATCCCTGTTCTTAATTGGCCAGCAAACTCTCCTGACCTTAACCCCATAGAAAATCTATGGGGTATTGTGAAGAAGAAGATGCAATACACCAGACCCAACAATTCAGAAGAGCTAAAAGCCACTATTAGAGCAACCTGGGCTATCATAACACCTGAGCAGTGCCACAGACTGATCGACTCCATGCCACGCCGCATTGCTGCAGTAATACAGGCCAAAGGAGGCCCAACTAAATACTGAGTGCTGTACATGCTCATACTTTTCATGTTCATACTTTTCAGTTGGCCAACATTTCTATAAATCCTTTGTTTTTATTGGTCTTCAGTAATATTCTAATTTTCTGATATGATGAATTTGAGATTTTCATTTGTTGTCATTTGTAATCATCAAAATTAAACAAAATAAACATCTGAAATATATGAGTTTGTATGTAATGTATGAATATAATATACAAGTTTCACTTTTTAAATGGAATTACTGAAATCAATCTACTTTTTCATGATATTCTAATTTTATGACCAGCACCTGTAATTCTGAGATAAAGTCCTAATTCTGAGATTAAAGTCAGAATTCTGAGAAAAAAGTCAGAATTCTGAGATTAAAGTCGTAATTCTGAGAACAAAGTCCTAATTCTGAGATAAAGTCCTAATTCTGAGATTAAAGTACTAATTCTGAGATTAAAGTCGTAATTTGAGAACAAAGTCCTAATTCTGAGATTAAAGTCCTAATTCTGAGATTAAAGTCGTAATTTGAGAACAAAGTCCTAATTCTGAGATTAAAGTCCTAATTCTGAGATTAAAGTCAGAATTATGAGAAAAAATCTGAATTCTGAGATTAAAGTCCTAACTATGAGAACAAAGCCCTAATTCTGAGATTAAAGTCCTAATTCTGAGAAAAAAAAATCAGAATTCTGAGATTAAAGTCCTAATTCTGAGAACAAAGTCCTAATTCTGAGATTAAAGTCCTAATTCTGAGATAAAGTCCTAATTCTGAGATTTAAGTCAGAATTCTGAGAACAAAGTCCTTATTCTGAGATTAAATTTAGAATTCTGAGAAAAAAGTCAGAATTCTAAGATTAAAGTCGTAATTCTGAGAACAAAGTCCTAATTCTGAGATTAAAGTCTTAATTATGAGATTAAAGTCCTAATTCTGAGAACAAAGTCCTAATTCTGAGATTAAAGTCAGAATTATGAGAAAAAAATCTGAATTCTGAGATTAAAGTCCTAACTCTGAGAACAAAGCCCTAATTCTGAGATTAAAGTCCTAATTCTGAGATTAAAGTCAGAATTATGAGAAAAAAATCAGAATTCTGAGATTAAAGTCCTAATTCTGAGATTAAAGTCCTAATTCTGAGGGGAAAAAAAATCAGAATTCTGAGATTAAAGTCCTAATTCTGAGATTTAAGTCAGAATTCTGAGAACAAAGTCCTTATTCTGAGATTAAATTTAGAATTCTGAGAACAAAGTCCTAATTCTGAGATTAAAGTCTTAATTATGAGATTAAAGTCCTAATTCTGAGAACAAAGTCCTAATTCTGAGAACAAAGTCCTAATTCTGAGATTAAAGTCCTAATTCTGAGATTAAAGTCCTAATTCTGAGATTAAAGTCAGAATTATGAGAAAAAAATCAGAATTCTGAGATTAAAGTCCTAATTCTGAGATTAAAGTCCTAATGTTGAGGGAAAAAAAGTCCTAATTCTGAGATTAGAGTCCTAATTCTGAGATTAAAGTCCTAATTCTGAGAACAAAGTCCTAATTCTGAGATTAAAGTCAGAATTATGAGGGGGGAAAAAATCAGAATTCTGAGATTAAAGTCCTAATTCTGAGAACAAAGTCCTAATTCTGAGATTAAAGTCAGAATTATGAGAGAAAAAAAATCAGAATTCTGAGATTAAAGTCCTAATTCTGAGAAAAAAAATCAGAATTCTGAGATTAAAGTCCTAATTCTGAGAAAAAAAGTCAGAATTTTGAGAAAAAAGTCCTGATTCTGAGATTAAAGTCTTAATTCTGAGACTAAAGTCGTAATTCTGAGACTAAAGTCGTAATTCTGAGAACAAAGTCCTAATTCTAAGATTTAAGTCATAATTCTGAGATTAAATTCAGAATTCTGAGATTAAAGTTATAATAAAGATTATAATCAAATGTATGTAGAATTATTTAATTAAAATATACAAAAATTTAAATATAATTCTTAAAGAGGAAAACTGTTTAGTAAAATTTACGACAAATGTTGTCTTTAAGTTCAGAAACAAGTAAAAAATAAAACTTTATAAAATGTTTGTATTTAAACATCTTTTCAAAATAATTTGTGAATTTTGGTTTTTATCCGGATGTAAATAAAGTAATTATGTTGAGATTTAAGGATAATATCAATGAAAACATTCATACTTTATCGGTTTAAGTGAAAAAAGTTGAAAGTGAAATAATAAACATGTTTTATTTAAATTTAATCAAGGAAAGTAAATCAATAAGGAGCCTCCTGCTTGAGATCCAGGAGGTAGACGGAGCCGCAGCCCCATCCGGAGGCCCACCGGCAGCCCACGCACCTGAGTGCCGGCCTCTGCGGTCCTGAGGCTCGGCCGCCCCCTGCAGCATCCTCCGCTGCCGGTGGAGCTCCTGCTTGGAGAGCAGCAGCTCCTCCTCGTAGCCTGAAATGGTTTTCTTCACCGCCTCGAAGATCTCATCCGCGGCCGCGCAGAGCCGCTCGTTCACCAGCAGCCGGAGGAGCTGGATGCTGGACATGACGCGGGCGGAGATACGAAAAATAAAAAAAATTGCTCGCAGAGTTTATAAGTGTTAAATCTGAAACATGCCCAAAAACAGCAGCCCAGCTTTTTTTCTCTTTATGGCCCATGCTGCCACCTAGCGGAGCGGAGTAGGAATGACAGGCTGTCAGCTTCAGTAAGGACACACGTTCCTGCCTATTGGCCTCTGAGCTTTGATACTCAACGGAAAGTAGAGTCAGGACCAAACACTGATTAATGGTGAACAACTGCTGCCTTTTGCAGAACCAGGGGCGGATTTAGGAAATTTGGGGCCCTAGAACAAGACAGACAGGAGGCCCTCTGAATGGAGAAGACAACACATAAAACAGACCCATTCTACAGATAAATATTAATAGAATAGACATCCATTATCTGTTCTAGGTTGTGTCCCTCTCTTCTTGTCCCTTTTCTTCTTGTTTTCCTCTCTATGTTTTGTATTCAGCTGACTTTTCATGCTGTCTCTAAAGGAATGAAAGATTTTTTCCAAGCACTAAGCTCACTTAGCTGATTGCTCCTTCCTGTGTTTCCAAAAAGGCCAAAGTAAATAACCCAGTCCTTCTTTTCACTGTAGACAAGCCATGATCTGCTTATCTGTTCTCCATTTTTCATTTGGATGAAATAATAGCTGCATGAATCATGACAGCAGACAAGATAGAGGAGAGCAGGAGGCGGGGGTTACCAATCTACTCGCTCTGGAGAGCAGAGTTCGCTGCTTTTAGATGTTGTCTCCAAAGTCTCCAGTAGCAGAAAAAAGTCTCTAGATTTGGCGCTAGGAGCTTTTTAGAAATCAAAGTGCTAGAGGGGTCTGAAAAGTAGCTAAATATAGCGACTAAAGCGCTAAGTTGGAAATACTGCTCTTTGCATGGTTTGTTTTCAAATGGTTTGCTGCTGTCTGGTTGGACCTTTCTGAACATGTGCAGCAAATGGACTGATCCAATATGGTGGACCCTGAAGGGGGGGGGGCTGAGACACACTTAATATTATCAGCGTTTTGATGACTTTTTAACAAAAACATAATGTGCACAAATAAGGAATAGTTGTATTAACCATACATGTAAACAGAGTTTTATGGGGCCCTAAGCAGCTTCTTATTATTGCCTGATGGTAAACCCCCTCCCTGTCCAGAACCAAACCTTCAAAGAGCTGATAAGTGGTTCCCTCTGCTTTAGGTCCCTTGCATGAAGACCGTTTCCTGAACAGCCACCTTCACGCCTTCGCTGTGGATTCAGATGTTCCCTCAGACCAAATAAAATGTAAAAAAAAATTTTTAGCTAAAACTCCAAAACAAAAAGAGACGCGTGAATCTGCTGAACATTGAGCCCGATGCTTCCTTTAGAACAGGTGTGATATATTTACTGGTGGAAATCTTCTCGTCCCTATTTTCACATTTTACTGCTGTGAACCTCATTTTTATTTCCTTCAAATATTAACTTTAAAATACATATAGAAAAGAAAGAACCATCCTAGATCTGACACTTAACTTTTAACAGTATTTGCATCCAGCTTTCCTCAGTTACCCACATTTACAGAGTACATTTAATGCAATTTAAGGTATTATCTATTTTAATAATAAAACCATAACATTATGTCAACAAACGTCCATACATTCTGCTCCCTTCATGTTAAAGTGACTCTTTTTTTCCATCTATATGCTCTATAGTTCTGCTGCTATAGGCTTAGACTGCTGGAGGACATAGGGACCCCTTTTTCATCATTCTGCTTCATTCTATCTCTATTCTCCCACTCTGCAGAATCTATTAGTTCAATCTCTAACGTTCTGCTCTCTCTGCTTTTTCTCATAGTAGCTTCATCTGGTCTGTTCCTGTTTGGCTGTGACTTCATCCTGGAGAGAAATATCAGCTGTGCTGCTGCCATCAACACCTTTGTTTCTAGATGTTGGAGCTTGGCCTGTTTTCAAGTGTAGTCCTGTTTCTCTGACTGTGACTAACTGGATGTGCTCTCTTCATCCTCTGACATGGGAGCTGGCTCGGAGCTCGTCTGCCTGGCTGTGTGTTTCCTGGACGGGGCCGCCTGTGGAGCTGGTTGACAGTTGCCTTTTGTATCTATGTTTCTTTTTCTATGTCTGCTTCTGTCTCCTTGAACCCCAGTGGGCCTCAGCAGATGGCCGCTCACACTGAGCCTGGTTCTGCTGGAGGTTTCTTCCTGTTCAAAGCGAGTTTTCCTCTCCACTGTCGCTACAAGCGTGCTTAGTGTGAGGGATTGCTGAAGAGTCAATGAGTCGATGCAATCAGCTGGTTTTCCTTAGATAGAAAACTTTGAATCAATCTGACTGGATGATCTGGTGAACTGAGATGACATGACGTGAATTGGAGCTATAGAAATAAACTGAATAGAATTCTATTTTCAAACCTTTCCTAGATGTTCACTGGTAATACTTTTAAAACCTGGAGAACTGAATGAAATTTTGATCACGTAGTGGGTTAGAAAGATGCCTGTCATACTCCTATTAGTTTTTAGCACCCTTTTTAAAATATTAATAAAAACTGTTTTTCAGGTTTATCACAAAACCTCCAAACAAGAGATAAAGTGATCATGATCATCGTTTTCTTTTTATTTCCTATAAATAACTTCTCTTTTTTCTTTTTGTTATTAAAATTTTTTTTTTTGAAATCCAGTAAAAAAAAAAAAGAAACCTTCCTGAAGCGTCCAGCAGGGGGCAGCATTCTCCACTGAAGCTTTGAGAGTTAAAACGGTCCAAATCAGATCCAAACTCAGCGAATTCAACATTCAACAGTTTTATTGTGAAAAAGTCTCTTCATACATGTCGCCTGTAGCTGTACAATCAATAATTTAAAAATCATCATCATCATCAAACATCCTCACGTTTCAGATCACTCAGCAGCTTCAGGGGAACGAGGCGGGAGAAACAGGAGTAGTGTCCTACTAGAACCAGACCGGCATCGGGGTCCAAACCTCCCACCATCAGCCAGGAGAACCTGCTGAGAGGGGAGGGGAACCTCTGCACGGGTTCTGGTCTAGTGTGATCTGGATCCAGAAGAGCAGAACCTCTTAGGAGATCCTGCTGTTCATGGATCGCTGGGTTCTGACCCGATGGGCCTCCTGATGGACCAGCAGAACCGGCATCGTTGGTCCTCTGACAACCAGGAATGAAACGAATGTTCAGAAGATCAGATAAGATTTAAAGGAGGCCGAGTTCAAGCAGGATCAGGTTCTGGAACCAGTCGGTTCCGATAGTGGCTGGACGGGTTTGGAGAACTTCAAGCTTCTACAGCGGAGCCGTTTTCTTTGGGTTTATTCGTAAATTTGAGTGGTTCTGATGGATCCGAAGCTGAAAGGTTTAAATAAAAATTATGTTCAAACTACAGGTGCTGGTCATAAAATTAGAATATCATGAAAAAGTAGATTGATTTCAGTAATTCCATTTAAAAAGTGAAACTTGTATATTATATTCATACATTACATACAAACTCATATATTTCAGATGTTTATTTGGTTTAATTTTGATGATTACAAATGACAACAAATGAAAATCTCAAATTCATCATATCAGAAAATTAGAATATTGTGAAAAGGTTCAAAATTGATGGCCCCTGGTGCCACACTCTAATCAGCTAATTAACTCAAACCACCTGCAAAAGCCTTTAAATGGTCTTTCAGTCTAGTTCTATAGGCTACACAATCATGGGGAAGACTGCTGACTTGACAGTTGTCCAAAAGACGACCATCGACACCTTGCACAAGGAGGGCAAGACACAAAAGGTCATCGCTAAAGAGGCTGGCTGTTCACAGAGCTCAGTGTCCAAGCACATTAATAGAGAGGCGAAGGGAAGGAAAAGATGTGGTCGAAAAAAGTGTACAAGCAAGAGAGATAACCGCACCCTGGAGAGGATTGTGAAACAAAACCCATTCAAAAATGTGGGGGAGATTCACAAAGAGTGGACTGCAGCTGGAGTGAGTGCTTCAAGAACCACCACACACAGACGTATGAAAGACATGGGTTTCTGCTGTCGCATTCCTTGTGTCAAGCCACTCTTGAACCACAGACAGCGTCAGAAGCGTCTTGCCTGGGCTAAAGAGAAACAGGACTGGACTGCTGGTGAGTGGTCCAAAGTCATGTTCTCTGATGAAAGTAAATTTTGCATTTCCTTTGGAAATCAAGGTCCCAGAGTCTGGAGGAAAAGAAGAGAGGCACTTCATCCACGTTGCTTGAAGTCCAGTGTAAAGTTTCCACAGTCAGTGATGGTTTGGGGTGCCATGTCATCTGCTGGTGTTGGTCCATTGTGTTTTCTGAGGTCCAGGGTCAACGCAGCCACATACCAGGAAGTTTTAGAGCACTTCATGCTTCCTGCAGCTGACCAACTTTTTGGAGATGCAGATTTCATTTTCCAACAGGACTTGGCACCTGCACACAGTGCCAAAGCTACCAGTACCTGGTTGAAGGACCATGGTATCCCTGTTCTTAATTGGCCAGCAAACTCTCCAGACCTTAACCCCATAGAAAATCTATGGGGTATTGTGAAGAAGAAGATGCAATACACCAGACCCAACAATTCAGAAGAGCTAAAAGCCACTATTAGAGCAACCTGGGCTATCATAACACCTGAGCAGTGCCACAGACTGATCGACTCCATGCCACGCCGCATTGCTGCAGTAATACAGGCCAAAGGAGGCCCAACTAAATACTGAGTGCTGTACATGCTCATACTTTTCATGTTCATACTTTTCAGTTGGCCAACATTTCTATAAATCCTTTGTTTTTATTGGTCTTCAGTAATATTCTAATTTTCTGATATGATGAATTTGAGATTTTCATTTGTTGTCATTTGTAATCATCAAAATTAAACAAAATAAACATCTGAAATATATGAGTTTGTATGTAATGTATGAATATAATATACAAGTTTCACTTTTTAAATGGAATTACTGAAATCAATCTACTTTTTCATGATATTCTAATTTTATGACCAGCACCTGTATTTGAGGTTAAAACTGGAAAAAAAGAAAAGATCAGAACCAAGTTCTTCAACTGTAGGAGGAATAAAACCCGACGAGACGAGGCGAGAGGAGGCGGCCATCTTTAAACGAGAGGAGGAGGGGCCAAAAGATGGAAGGTCCTGCAGTACCTGAAGTAAAGTGAAGCTGAGGAAGAGGAGGAGGAAGAAGGAGGAACCGGGTCGCCTCTCTATCCTTCACATCGCCCACCCAGAGTCGGACCTCCCCAGAACCTCACTGTAGACTCGGATCGGATTCTTTCTGATGACTAAACACTTTCATTTATGGAGGAATAAAACCAGAAGGTTCCAGAACCCGAACCCTGTCCTATCAGACGGGTCGAATCCAGAACCTGAACCCAGAAACCGTACATCAAGGCACGAGAACAAGCCTAGACCCGAGTCTGCTGCAGCCCAGGTCCGTTGGGTTTAATGGTTCTGTAGTGTCTGAAAAACGTTAGCTTATGGGTCATTAGAAGAGAACGAGCGGCGGCGTTTCTGTACATAGCAGAGCCCCTGGGCTCCGCCTCCACCTTGTAGTGACTAAGAGTCTGTAGCTGTTCTCCAGAGTTGCCCTGAGCTCCGGCGTCTCCGCCGTCTCCCGGCCCGCCAGCAGTTAGGAGATCTTGCAGTTGCTGCGGGTGCAGTTCTGCGGCGGGCTCTGAGGAGGACGGATGGACTTGGAGCGCTTCAGGCTGTTGCCTTTGGAGCCGCCGGCCGTGTTGGCCACCGAGTACGAGCGTCCGTGCATCATGACGGCGTTCATGCCGTTGGCCATGGAGAAGGACTTGAGGTGGGACTTGATGGCCACGGGCAGCGGCAGCTTGTCGATGAGGTGGACGGGCGTGCAGGACACGATGGCTCTGCAGCAGAGGTCCTGCAGGCTGAAAACTGAGGAGAGGAAGAGAAACGTTAGAGAAGCTAGATCTGCTTCAGATCCGCCGTCAGAGACACGTCCTCTGCAGGGATCTAGAACAGAAGCATCTATAGATCTAGAACAGAAGCATCTATAGAGATATGTCTATCTTCCTCCATCTGATATCCAAGGTTACGCTACATTCAGACCGACGCAGCAGAAGCAGCAAAAACGCGCATCAGAACCACTCCCCCCCCCCCCAGCGCAGTGGTTCTGATGAGCGGTGGGCGGAGCTACCCTATCATTTCTTTGCCTGGAACAATGGCAGCCATATTTGCTGTGATCAGCGAGTAAAAAGTAGTTAGAATCTATGTTGAAGTGAGAAAGTCCTCCTGAAAACATGGTCTGTGCAGTCAGTTCATCCAGATTACCATCCTGCCTTCAAAGATTATTTCTCTGTAGGAGTGAATAAAGTGAATGTGATTGGTCGATTATCAAGGGGGCGGGATTGTTGTGGCAGAAGGTTCGCAAGCAGGTTTGGTTGTGGCCGGTTTGTCGGAAGCATCTTGCTAACCAGTTAGCATCTTAGTGCTAGCAGGTTTCCAATGGGAAATTCCATTGGGACCAAGAAGCACTAAATTGGTGACTTAGAAACGACGCTGTCAAGGAACGCTATGGACAGAGGAAACATGCAAGAGGAGGAGAGTTTAGTGTCGGAGGTCGTGGATGAGTCTCCTCCGTCATCCATTTTTTATTTAGAGGAGGAAAGCGGGGACGAAGATGTTGTGGAAGAGGACGCCAGGGCAGCAGAAGCTTGGTTTGGTGTAGAAGGCTTCCAGCCGTACATGTTTGAGCCCTTGCCTCGCAACGCTGCCAGTTCTGTTAGCTCTACGCCTGCCGAAGACACAGACGTCCATCCCCGTGAACACTGGGACGCAACTCAACGGGAAAGGAAAGGATTCGGATTTCAACCGTTGCGTATATTAGCTGCGACACATGAATCAAGATGCTATGACCGAAAAAATTTGATTGACAGATGACCGTTGATATATGATTGGATGAATTTAGGTGTTCAGGCTGACGTAGAACTAACTGACCTGAATAAGATAACGGAAAAAACACAGATTTTAAGACAGGATTTTTTGGGACAATATGGTCCAATAAAGAATAAATTTATATTCATGTTAAAGCCAGAATGATTCGACTTCCCTGTGACTTTAATGCTTCTCAGGAAGCAGAGCAGAAAGCTCATGGCCTCACCTCTGTTGGGCCTCCAGAACTTCTCCATGCCGTGCCTCATCAGGACGATGCGGGACAGCTCCGTGAACGACTCGATCACGTTGAAGTTGCACAGGGGGCTCACCTCGAAGAAGGTCATGCCGTTCTTCTCTGCGTACGCCCTGGCCTGCTCCGTGGGGACCTGCCGCTTGAAGGCCAGGTGGAGGCGGTTCCCCACAAGGATCCGAGGGACTCCGGGAGCGTGCTGAGGAAGGAGACGCAGACGGGACGTTCAGAGCGGGTCGGTTATTAACCAACAGGCTGCAGGTCTCTGATTCAGACACTAAAAACCTGCAGGGAAACAGGATTTCCTTCCCGCTGCTGAGCTCAGACCGAACGGAGCGACGGCAGCTGAGAAGGAAAACATTTCCTATGAGGTTCTAAACCTTTTTCCTTCACGTCTGAACCGACAAACCTCCCTGTTCTCACCAGAACCGGTCCAGATCAACCTAAAGCTGGGCGATATGAAGGAAATCTAATATAAAGATACCATTATTAAACTACTTTATTATTTTTTTAAAAGTTTGTGACTCAATATTAGACCATGGAAAACACAGATTTACCTTCACAGCATCAGAAGGACAACATTTATGTACAAAAAGTAAACCTGGACATGAAATGATGTTTGGTTTTATAAATTCTTTTATGTTTTTTGTTGTTTTCATTCATATAAATATACTGGTGTGATAACTTGGTGTAGTCCCTCCCACCATGATGCGTTCAAAGTGTGTGGGAAAAATAAAACTCAGTGAAATAGATGGAGACGGTTTAATGTGGTCATGTGAATTTGGACTGGAAGGCTGCGATAGTCATTTTAACTATTGTTCGTGAGAAACATCGAGTTTATTCGACGTCAATCAGCTCTAGATCAACATGGAGAGAAGTTCCTTCCAACATCGTTGCACAGAACATGATTTATACAAAGAAATTTGAAGAAAAAAAAATGCAATCCAGTAATTAAAATAAAATGCTTCAGAAATGAGCTTTTCTTTCTCTGAATTTTTAAAAATGGCGTCCTGTTTGAACTTTGCTTCTGTTAGGTTTAATAAAAACTAAACTATAGATAAAAACCGGTTCAGAGGAACCTTCAGGACTTCTATCCACCCACTGGTTCAGATAAATCTGCGTTTTCACTGAACTACAGGATTTCCTGGGAGATGATCCTCAGATGATGACGTCAGAAATAAAAATGTCTCCACAAACCCGACAGATCTAAGGAGCAGCGCCGCCTTCAGGCCCATCAGCGAGGGTTCGTGGACAGAAAATATATATAGAAAAATAATAAAAAACAAAGGATCCAAATAGAAATAAAATCTAACGGATTTATTTTAATCCTCCATCTAACCTGCTGACATCACCTCCTCCTGTTAAAGGTGTTAAAGAGGCGCCACTTGAGCTGAGGTGGAGCAGGAAAAGCAGAAGTGGAGGACGCATTCCACAGCCCAAAAATACCACCAACACACACACACTCATTTTACTATATGTAGTGAGGACCATGCATTGATTTCCAGCTATTTTCAGCCTTCTTTAAGCTCCAACCACGACGATAACATTAAAACCTAATTATTCCCGGGGCATACCTAACACATGGCTGTGTTTTACCATCTTTACGGGGACTTGCAATAACTTCTATGCTCCAAACGTAAACCTAAGACCATAGTCCTGAAGCTGCCCTCAGACCCAGGAGGAGGAGCTTTCCTCAGAAGTCCTCACAATGTAGGATATTCCAGTGAAACTGTCCTAACAATCCAATAAATGTAAATTGTCTCGTTCCATTGGCAAAGTCTCTCACTACCTCCTCAATTCAAGACCAAATTCAATTATTTTCAGAAAAAATGACTAATTTAGATGTTTTGCAGCAAAGCTCAGCCATTTACAGCACGCATGTTAAGCTAGCAGCTAAGGCATCCATTCAGGTGATGGTTAGTGCTGGACCGGACTGGACCGGACCAGAACCAGACTGGACCGGACCCATACCGGACCGTACAGACCCAGACTGGACCAGACCGGACACAGTCTGGACCGTACCAGACCCAGATTAGACCGGATCAGACCGGAGCGGATCAGACCCAGACCGGACCGGACCAGGCCCAGACCCGACCGGACCTGGCCCAGACCGGACCGGACCTGGCCCAGACCGGACCGGACCGGACCTGGCCCAGACCAGACCAGACACAGTCCGGACCAGACCAGACCCTACCCAGACTGGACCGGACCAGGCCCTACCAGACCCAGACCAGACCGTACGCAGACCGGACCAGAACCAGTCTTGACCGGACACAGTCTGGACCGGATCAGACCCAGACCGGACCATACCCAGACCGGATTGGACACATTCTGGACTGGATCAGACCCACACCAGACCCAGACCGGACCGGACACAGTCTGGACCGGAGCAGGCCCAGACCGGACCAGACCAGGCCCTACCAGCCCCTACCCAGACTGGACCTGAGGAACCCAGACTGGATTCATCAAACATTTCTCCAATATCCTGTTGCAGGTTTTCCTGATATCCTGCAGATGAACAGGCTCGGTTCTGCTTGGTACCGTTAACCCAATAGTTTTAAATGTTGAAACATTTCAGCAAAAACCAACTAAAGACGAAGGTTAAACATCAGCTTTGATCAGACGGGGTCACAATCAGTCACCTCGTCGATCTCCCTGATCCACCTGTCGATGCCGTCGAACGACCAGCGGTTGGTTATGTCATAGACGAGCAGGATGCCCTGAGAAGAGACCCGAACACACCAGGATCAGCCCAGAACAGGTTCCGGATCATCAGACCAACAGCAGCGTGTCTCACCTGAGCGCCGCGGGAATACGAGCGGAAGATGGTGCAGAAGCGTCCCTGGCCAGAGGTGTCCCTGTGGAGACGAAGACACACCATGAGGTTCCACAGCGAGGTTCTGGTAGAACCGCAGGTCCAAATTAACATTTCAGAACAACATCTACAGATTCTGTATGGCGACACATTCATTTCAAAACACCGGCGATAAAAATAAACATACTGGCATGAATGTTAAACTACTTTCTGTGAATGGTTTATCTACCAACGCACAACAACATCACACATGCGCCTCTAGAGGAGAAAAATCACTTTCCGCGTGGCCAGCTCCTTTCAGGTGCTTTTCGCTCGCTAGTGTGTGTCATTAAAATACACGTAGTATTTGGAATGGATGCTTTGATCGGATGGAAAAAAGCAGAGCGTGAGCGGCTGGTGGCGTGGTTCCATTACAGGCATTTATGAAGTCATGAGAGCGGAGAAGGACAGCTTCAGGACGGCGGGCTGAGCGTCAGGACGGCGGGCCGAGCGTCAGGACGGCGGGACGAGCGTCAGGACGGCGGGACGAGAGTCAGGACGGCGGGTCGAGCGTCAGGACGGCGGGACGAGAGTCAGGACGGCGGGCTGAGCGTCAGGACGGCGGGCTGCGCTGGGCAAATGTGATGTTTAAAGGCCTTATCCCCGTCTCAGTGCGTGCTCGGATAAATATAATCATTACGCCATAGAACTCTGCTCACCCTGCAGACTGAAATAAAACGCTCCTCCTCAGCGGCGCTCTGCCGCGTCGCTCTGCATCGTTTTTCAGACAGAACCGAGGCTGGATTCCCTCCTCAAACTAAACCTGTTTGCTTCAGAGACTGACCATCAGCAGTAGGGCTGAAAGATTCTCAAAAATCTAAATTGTGATCATTTTTAACCAATACTGTGATTCCAGTTTTTCCTTTCCAACCACAAGCAGCTTCAATTTTATTTTTTAGCTTGAAACCTTCGTTTCTAGGGTCCATTTTTGCAGGACTTTACTGTTGCTTCCTCCTTCCATCATGCATGGAAATGCAACTCTCTCTGCCTTTGAGTGTGGAAACAAACCCACATTAGTGTATTACCATCCCCTAAATGCCTGGAATGAGACGTTCAAAAATCTACATTTTCTGTGATTTGTCCATTGCTTGCCCAGCCCTAGTCAGCAGCAGTGTGTGCTCACCACAGCTCCAGCTTCACCCTCCTGCCATCCAGGAGGATCGTAGTGGTTTTATAGTCGATACCTGCAGAGAAAGAGGAAAGAAGACAGACGTGTTAGAGAGATGGAGACGCTGGTCAGAAGGACAGGAGCTGAAAACAGCTGGAAGCTCCTGAACATCTGGTCTGGTGCCGACTCAGCTGCTGCACAGAAAGCATGGATCACCTCAAACCTTCATGTATCTGGACATAGAAATCTGTTCAGGGGACCAGAGGAAATGACCTTTTACTTCTCTGATCCAAAGGGATTTCCTGGGCCTGGATATAACGGGTTTATATACTGCAGTCAGAACATATCACTAAAAGCACCATTAGTGTCACTAATTGACTGAGGAGACAGACGCTGGGAGAGAGGACCGACAGAAGGCGGGACGTTTCATCCCATCCTCCACCGGGAATCAGTCGGTCAGTTTCTGATTCCAGAACTTTTTCCATTTGTTTGAGACACCAGTAAACATTATTGCTAATGTTGCTAATGCTACATCCACCTGAATGCACATAAACACAAGTCACATTCTACTCATACACAAACAAAAAAGCTTTCAAATGAGCTTCATCACACATTTTTTTTTCTAAAAACGACTAAACTTGAATGTAAAAACAACTTCACAAGGATTTTCTAAGCACAATAAGAGGTTAAACTCCAATAAGAACAAAGATTTCATGTACCGTAATAAGAACTCATCAAAATGATTTGACCTTAAAAATGTAGAAATAAGTTCAATGTTGAAATAAGATCAGACATCAGGAAGAATTTAATTCATAAAAAGATGAGAAACATCTGCTGACGAGGATGCTGGGAGCAACACTGACAGATCAGCAGCAGTTTCTAATACGATGGAGACGGATGATGATGCTGCATCAGAGGAACCTCTGAGGAACCACGGTTCTGCTCAGACGATCAGTAGAACCACAGAGTTTAAGTTAAACGGATTTAAGTTCTATGTTAAAAGGAAGGGTTCAGGTTGTTCCGGCGCGTGCCTCATGTTAACCCCGTCCCTCTCTAAACCTTCACTGCTGCAGAGTCACAGGCCGCTAACAGACTCTACCAAACCGGTCCGACCGCCTCGCCTCCACCTGCTGCACGCCGCGGCGTGTTCCTGCCGTGCTTAGAAGCCGCAGGAACGCCTGAGGCCAAACAGGTGCCAAACGGAGCGATCCGTTCCCAAGGTGTTGATCCAAAAACCCGACAGGTTGGAAATACCTTCTGCTACCTGAACATGATGCACTGAAGGTGTAATTATTGCTGCTAAAGTCTTATTTACAAACCTGCGAAACAAAAAGCAGTGTTTTAAAAATAAAGCAACCCTGAAAATCTATTTTATCAGGATTTATACAGGAATGAGTAACTCTTAATTTAATGCTCTTTTAATGTTCTTAGAAATCATTTTAATGCCATCAAGAACTATCCATGAGTCTCACAGATAAGCGGCAAAAACTTCCTCATCTTTACCGTTTACAGGCGGCAGCCATGTCCAGAATTCCTCGTTTTCCAGCAAATGTTATCAAAATTTGTATTTTACCATTCTGTAGCTTTCCCCAAAATATACGGAAGCGGTTCCGCGCAAATATATCGCAGTGTAATATGTCTGACGGATTTGTTTTTATAAATTTTTTTATTTTCTTTTTAAATAAAGCATTTTAAATTCCACAAAAATCACATTAATTTTAATGCCAATTCAGGCCCTTCACTTAACAAATAATAATTTAATGACTTTTAATGATAACCCTGTTTAAAGTCGTAGGGAAGCGGTCGTTCCAAACGTTGCATTTCTGAATTCTCCTGAGTGGTGCCCGACTTTACACGAGTGAATAAAGTGAATGTGATTGGTCGTTTATCAAGGGGGCGGGATTGTTGTGGCAGAAGGTTCGCAAACAAGTTTGGTTGTAGCCGGTTTGTCGGAAGCATCTTGCTAACCAGTTAGCAACTTAGTGCTAGCAGGTTCCCAATGGGAAATTCCATTGGGACCAAGTAGCACTAAATTGGTGCCTTAGAAACGACGCTGTCAAGGAACGCTATGGACAGCGGAAACATGCAAGAGGAGGAGAGTTTAGGCCCCGTCCACACGAATGCATGAAAACGCTGCAAAATGTATGCCAGGCCTGTAAGCGGCGCTGTGGTGCCAAAGCAAAAATAGGCGACGAAATGTTGGGCATGCGCACTAATATTTATACATGGTTGCCCTGCGGGTCCATTTTCGTGGTTCAGTCAAATTCAGGTGCTGAACTATGTCGTCGATATTGCTCTGTTCTTCCTGGAGATATTCCAGAAGAAGAAGATTCTGTTGTAAGCCCGACAGCAGGGTGAGTAGCATGAGCAGCAACCATTCAACACAGTACGGCGCCATTGTTGTTGTGATACTGTGTCGCGCATGCGTGTTTAGAGGCGACGCTATGACGCATGCGTGTAAAAAAAAAAATGCAGTTAGAGCTTAAACATGGAAACGCGAAAACGGCGTTTCAAAATCTTCCCACTCTGAAGGCTTAAAAAAAAAAAGATCGTTTACAGACCCCCGAAACGCCGGCTTCGTGTGGATGAGACGAAGATGTTGTGGAAGAGGACGCCAGGGCGGCAGAAGCTTGGTTTGGTGTAGAAGGCTTCCAGCCGTACATGTTTGAGCCCTTGCCTCGCAACGCTGCCAGTTCTGTTAGCTCTACGCCTGCCGAAGACACAGACGTCCATCCCCGTGAACACTGGGACGGAACTCAATGAGAAAGGATTCTGATTTCAGCCGTTGCGTATATTAGCTGCGACATATGAATCAAGATGCTATGACCAAAAAAAATTTGATTGACAGATGAGCGTTGATACATGATTGACTGAATTTAGGTGTTCAGGCTGACGTAGAACTAACTGGCCTGCAGGAGATAACGGAAAAAATAAAGATTTTAAGACAGGATTTTTTTTTATATAAATTTTCTACATTTTGAAGCCAGAATGATTTGAAATTTAAATATGATTTCTCTACCACTTTAATGTCGGGGCCACTAAAATATGTGAACATCGGAGCTGAAATGTCAGAATTTATGTCAAACTTTGAAGAAACTGTTCCCAGCTGTGGATGTCCTTCAAGAATAAAATCCTGAACAGCTCAGTTTATGGTTACATTTACAAAAAATGAATATTATGAGACAAAATGAGACTATTTTTAGAAATAATTAAATTCCACTTCCTTTTGGTTGCACTGTAAGAAATGGAAATGTCTTGAGAGTTTCACTGAACAAACTTTTTGTTTTTTTTATCCACCCTGTGTGTACAAAATTACAAAAGTGGTTCTTCTTTTTACTCTTTGTTCTTTTCTCTACAGTTTAGACCTATTTTCATGAGAACTTTGTTTTCTAGTTTTCCTTTGCTGCTGACTGTCCTGGATTTCCCGTCTGAGAGCCAATAAATTAGACTTTATTCTGGTCTAACAGCGTTTGCTAGCCGTTAGCTGACTGGGTTTAAATGAAACCATAGGAAGAGGAAGAGATGGCTAAAGGGGAACAGGTTTTATTCTGCAGGTCGAACCAAATGTCTGTAGCTCTGAAAGTTCTCCTTTATATCATGGGCTGAAAGAGAAGCAGCTCGATAGAATGATGAAGTTTCCTGATTCAGCATTTCTAGGCGTCTTATTCTCCGAGCTGCACCTCCATCCTGTTGAACAACAGAGAGGTGAGCGTTGATCTGGGAGCTCCTGATTCTAACAGAATGAAAAGAGGCAGCAGAATCCGGTCTATTAAACTGAATAGGTCTGAGATAAGAACAGGCTGATAGCGACCGGCTACGATCCCTGTCTGGAAGATCAAACTGAGCAACACTTACAAACATTAAGCTAATGCCTTTAAAAGTCTGCATCCCGGTCAAACTCCACGGCTTCAGGCTCTAATGGACCACAGCTGCTAGTTAACAGCATTAGCAACATCTTCCAATTTCCAGGCAGCTTAAAGCAGCAGGGACTTTAAGTGGCGAGTTTGGAGCCTAATTGAATTGGAGTGAGTGCAGGGCGGCGCTCCGAGCGCTTCCTTCCCTCTCCATGCTGAGCCTCACTTAGAAATCCCAGATAATCGATTTCCATCTCTGGTGTCTTCGCTGCATCCATTCAGGAGGACGGCACACTTTGTTTCTGTTATAGACGAACGGAAATCAGTGTGAAAACCTGTTTCTGACCCTGCAGGTGTGAAATATGAGCCCCATGAAGGAGAACGATCACAAATGCCTCAGTGTTCCCGTCTAACCAAACAACCAGAGCCTACGGACAGCCTCCACCAATCAGAGGCTGTTCCATCATCCAGATTTCTGTCCATCCGTCCTCCTACCACTAGGGGTAGGGGGGAAAAAACGGCGATATATCGTGATTTTCAGCTGCCTGATATAATATCGATCTTTCAGCACTTAAAAAACAATCTAGAAAAAAGTAAAAATGTCTTAAAGCTGACACTAAAAGTTCCAAACCCTGCAGCTCTGGAACGGTTTTAGCTAGAGGTCTGAAATTTTCTGCATCTGTTGTTGACATGATTTAGAACCAATCTAATGCAATGAGACCTGCTTTCTCTCATGAATGTCTTTATTACTGCTGTTCTAAAAAGACCTATATTTTCCGACAATAAAAACAACAACTTTGAGTCATATTTGAACTGATGCAGCTTGGTCTGTGTTCTACTCACCAAATTATAATTTATATATTCAGAAACTAGAGGATGTTAGCTCTCAAATAATGTATAGCACATGTAATTTGGGCTTATAGTTCCTAAATTATTTGCTTTTCCATGTGGGTATGCAAAATAGACAAGGATTACCCAAAATGAGTAACACTAGTTAATTATGCTCATCAATATACTAACAATAAAGATGATAAGGACAGAATTCACCATATTTTATCTTATGGGGAAAAGAGAAAATTATGTCTCTGTAAGTCATCTGAGTCTTCAGGGAAATCAGAGATAAATCACTACTTTAATAATAATCCACATAATGTAGACATTAGCTTGTGTGAATATTAATCGTAAGCAGAACTATCATTGATATAATTAGGTAATTAATGACAATGAATAAGATGTTTGCCCCAGAACTCAAACCTGGAAGAATTTTGGACACCTGATTAACATGTTCAGGCTACGCCTCTGCATTAAGCATCGCTGTAGTAAAAACAAAAGATATGAATTTACTATTAAAGGACTTTTAATTTCCCTTTAATGTGTTTTCCTTTAAAACGTCTTGAATTAGCGTAAAGTAAAAAGAAAAGTTTTCCTCTCTGTTGGAGAGAACAAACCTGGAGAATGAAGGTGACTTGAGCATCATTTGCACCCCCCCCCTAAACACACACACACACACATACAATGAATGCCCTGACTGTCCCCTGATGTGACCTCTGTGACCCCAGACAGCAGGATCCACAAACACCAACGTTCAGGACTTTTCTTCCTTTTCCCCCCAAAGCCTGAACCATCATAACAACCAGAGGGACGAGCAGTGACTCACGGGGGAGATTTACCATCAGGCAACACTAGGCAGCTGCATAGGGCCCCAAGTTCCTGGGAGCCCCATAAAACTCTGTTTCCATGTATGGTTAATCCAACTATTCCTATATATCCTATATTTCTATATTTGTGCACATCAATTTTATAGATTTTTTATAGATTTTTTAGATAAAAATCCTTTCACTTAAAGGAAAATTCCGGTTTTTAACACTTTTAGCCCATTTTCTGTAGTGTCCAGGATGAAATCGAATGATCGACACCAAAATTTTGACAATTGGTCCTGTCTCTGCTTTTTGGCTCATTTAGAATCAACCCCTGGCTGCTTCAGAATGGCTTCTATTGTGCATGTCCGATAATGTCCTTAAAACAACCTTAAACGTTCTTTTTTTTAAATATGCTACTCACCGGGTCGTCAGCGCTGTTCAATGACGTTCCAAAAAAAGTTTCGTGAAGAAAAAACGTTCCTGTAGTGTTTTATTTAGCATTTTGTAAATCCCATTGAGTTCTGTAGGAATAGTCAATATTCCGCTGCCACCGGAAACGGAAATGGGGCCTGTTTACACAGTTGTAGTCTTTTCGCTTCACTCTGTGTACTCCGACGTCGAGGTGCTAACGTCTCTGTTAAACACTTTAAAAAACTCTGAAAATGGAATACGAAAGGTGGATTCTTGAGGAGGACATATTGCACTTTGAGTTTGACGGTAGAGGATACCGTTTTGAACCGGAATATACTGAGGAGGAGTATATAGAGACATTGTCGCCAACTAGTGGTCTGGAGTGTGCAACGCTTCAGATTCGAACGGGAAGCGGAAGTTTATAAGCGGTTGTGATGTATCGGAAAAAATAGTTCTGGGATTTACAAATTGCTAAAATGCCATTAGAACACCTATAATAAGTGTGTCTCAGCCCCCCCTTCAGTGTCTACCATATTGGATCAGTCCATTTGCTGCACATGTTCAGAAAGGTCCAAACAGACAGCAGCAAACCATTTGAAAACAAACCATGCAAAGAGCAGTGTTGCCAACTTAGCGCTTTAGTCGCTATATTTAGCCACTTTTCAGACCCCTCTAGCACTTTGATTTCTAAAAAGCTCCTAGCGCCAAATCTAGAGACTTTATTCTGCCACTGGAGACTTTCGTATATAAAGAATATAGTCATAAAATAATAAGAATAAAGTTGTAAAAATATGAGAATAAACTTATAATGAGAACAGTCATAAAATTCCAAGAATTAAGTCGTAAAGCTACGAGAATAAAGTTGTAACAATACGAGAAGTCGTAACATTAGAAGAATAAATTCACCACAAGAATACTCATAAAATTACAAGAATAAAGTTGTAAAATCAGGAGAATAAAGTCGTAACAATAGAAGAAAAAAGTCATAGAATCTACTAGAATCAATTTCTTTCCTAAAATGAGGAAAGTTGAGCATCGTGCGAAGTTAAACTTTAGCATCGGTTTGATAAATCAGGAAATCTTTTAGCAGCAGCATCAAACTGGGCAGGATGTCAAAGTGGACTCTGGTTGCTGATTGGTGGAGCTGGTCTGATGTCATCTGCTGGGCGGAGCTCCAAGCTTTCTTTCTGAAACGGGTTGTTGAATGATGACTTCATTCTTGTAACATTACAACTTTATTCTCAAAATTTCTCCATCTGTATAAGCGGGTTTGTTTTATGTGTCCTGTTTTCCATTCAGGGGCCCCCCTGCCTGTCTTTGCCTAGGGCCCCAGATTAGTTAAGCCCGTCCCTGGAGACTCACCGCTGCTGTAGGCATAAGGAGACTCTGCTGATCCATCCTGCAGGCTGTCCAGGATCTCCCCTTTGCCCACGTCGCTGTCTCCCACCAGCAGGAACTTGAGCAGGTAGTCGTAGCTTTTCACCGGGCTGCCCTGGCTGCCCATCCTCCCCTCTGAGCCCCGCAGCACCGGGATCCTCCCTAATGACTTCTGCCCCTCTGCTTTGATGCCAAACACAGTCTGTTATGCCATGAAGCAGCTGGAGATGCGGGTCCAGCTTGGTTCTACCGGCTTCACACGGTTAAAGGAGCTAAAAGCGGGTCAGCTTGTTTCAGTGAAAGTAGTGCAGAAAAAAACAATTAATGTCTAAATCATTATGTAATCACAAACTGAACTTGATGCCTTTAAATACTGATAACTGCATCTGAATCCGCTCTGAAACTCTAAAATAACGTCTTATTCAATTCATTCACTTCTCAAAGGTTGTGACTCATTTAAAATATGCTTTATTCTAAAATAAAAAGCAGGAAAAGAGTGATTTAACAATAAATAGAGACCCTTTCTCCCATTTAGAAGCTAGCTGTGCGTGGGAGCTAACGGTTAGCCTAGCTTAGCTTTCAGCACAGCTTCCTTCTGTCAAAGAAAATTAAACCGCTTCAGGAGGTGAAATTAAAAGAGTTAAAATGCGGGTTTAATGTGAAGCTAAAGAGGCTTAAAGCGGCGCTGTTCCAGCGAGAAGTGACGCTTTTCTTCCAGCTAACTCAACTTCCCCCAAACCTTTGATTTCAGGCCGCGAACAAAACAATCCCAACTTCCACATCCAGCTCAGTCCCCCGAGAAAAGGCCGGAAATCAGGCGGCAGAACAGAATCCAGTCCAGATCCGAGTGTTCGCGCTCAGTGATCTCAGTCCGCGATCTTTCCATTGCTTTTCATGGTTTTCTGTCATAATCCCAGATGGTCCTCCTCCTCACGGCTCCACAACAACAACTACCGAGCGCCGCTCCGCTGCTCACCCACACCGCGCTGACCACGCCCACTGCCCGCCCTACCTCTCATCTGATTGGACACTTTGTTCGCGGGGGAAATTCGCAGCCCTGCTCATTGGTTAGGAGGCCTGTCCTTCACAGGATGTTGTCAACAATGCGCAGATGGTGAGGAGGGGGGGTATGAGGACAGAAAAAGATGTTCCATTCTTCTCTGAATGCAGTTAGAACAAAGGCGAAGATATCTGATCAGATGGAGAAACATGGCGGAACTAAAGCCTGATCTAAAGAGACAAATTACGACCTATTTAGATCCTTCTCCTCTAACATGATGATATAACCAGGTCAGCTCATAAAATAAGCATATTCTATTATTATAATGAGCAAATGGATGGAAGGAGATCATCATTTTATACCATTTATGTAATTAGTGCCTGAAGCAACATATAATTTGACATTTATATAACAAATATATTTGTTTTAATATATAACCACTCTGTGCAGTAACCCTGCAGAGGGGATTTACCATTAGGCAACACTAGGCAGTTGATTAGGGCTCCTTGGGGCCCCATAAAACTCTGCTTACATCTATGGTTAATACAACTATTCCTTATTTTTGCAGATTAATTATGTTTTTGATAAAAATCCTTTCGCTAAAATGCCATCAGTGTGTCTTTACTGCACAGCTCATTAGCTTTTGGACATAGACTGGGTCCTTAAAGCTTAAAAGTTAATTATTTATTTATTTGTTTATTTTAATCAGTACCACTGTGTACTGAAGACATAATTGAAATTCTAATGATGATATGATCTGGAACAGACATGGTTACTGATAGGTCCTTTTGATCTATTTTACTTTTTTCTTTACAAATTCTGTTTTTCTAATTATTTAAACGCTTTTAGGTGATAGCTTTACTCATATTGAGATAAGATTATAGTTTTCATCTTCTAAATGTTTTTTTTTTCAAAGCAAATTGCTCAAATCTTCACAGCTGAATATATCAAGGTATTTTTTTTAGCTCTAATTCAGATTTTATAGAAAATTTAAATTATGTCAAAAATATGTTAAATTCCTAAATTATGTTTGTTTATTGACCTAATAAGGCATATAATTATAATTAAACCTAATTGAATACAAATTTCACTTCATGCAGCTATCTTACTATATTTGAATCCCTGGCCCTGTTTTTTTTATTTCATGCTTTTCTGGGGCCCCCATTAAAACACGCTGGCCCCCATCTGGCCCCCTAGTACCTTTGGTCTAGAACCGCCGCTGGTACCACGGCCCTAAAAAAAAATCATCAAACTTAATAAGTTTGTCTTCTCATATAATCGTTTACAACGCGTTCTTTGATTAGAACAATAAGGAAACAGAATTCACTCCATAAAGGTGTGAATATAAAAACACACCTTTAGGGTTTTTAGCATCATCGCTATTATAAGCCAGTCTCTTCTTTCCTGTGATCTAAAGTGCTTCGCTGGCAATATTTTAATATGGAGTAGCGACATTTAGAACATAATATGTAAAATAATGTAAATATATATATATATATATATATATATATATATATATATATATATATATATATATATATATATATATATATATATATATATATATATATATAAACTATTTAAGTTTGCTGTCTAGTAACAACAAAAAGAAAAAAAACCTTCAATAAATGCTTTCTTTCCTTGGAAATTTGATTTATTACTAATATTTGGTTTTGGACATAGACTGGGTCCTTAAATATGGAAAGTGAATCTTTTATTTATATATTTTAATCAGTTCCACAGCCCTTAAAAATGATCAATCTTAATAAGTTTGGGTTCTTTTATAATAGTTTTCCATATCTGATGAGCAAATCCACACCTTTATGGAGTGAATTCTGTTCCATTATTGTTCTAAGCAAAGAACACGTTTGTAAATTGAACATAAAAAGAAGAAATGCCACCTGTAGTATATCGTTAGATTGGATCATCTGTGATCGATTGGTTTACCCTATGAGAAGCGCATCACTCAGTGTTCGATATGTTTGGTCTAGTGCCCAGTGTTGTTGTTGGCGAGCTGCAATAAAAGTTACAGTGCATGGCGCGTGTTTTGAAGCTGCTTATGGAGAAATGTCTTGGGCCGTGAGTAGTGAGGAAACAGGAAGCGATTCTTGTGGGATGGAAGAGGGAAATAGTGACAATGAAGGTTGGAAAATAGCAACATCAAAAAATGAGAAAAAGCGGAAAAAACAGAGATCAGTTCAAGGGGAATCTAGTTCAGAACAATCCAGTGATGATCATTCCATACATTCCACAGCACAACAAAATGAATTCAAAGTCATATTCAAAGTCGTTAATCAGGCAGACTCTTTTACAAATTGGAATCCGGTTCACTTAACAAAAACCATCAATAAACTTGTCGGAGAAGTCAAAGGTGCCAGAATTCTGTACAGTGGAGACCTGCTAATTAACTGCAGAGACAGCGCCCAGCAAGGCAAAGCAATACGTATCAACAAAATTGACGGGATAAGAGTTCAGTGCAGCCTAATGGAGAACAAAAAGATCAGCAGGGGAGTCATTGGAGGAGTTCCTCTAAAAATTTCTGAAAAAGAGATTCTGGAAAACATAAGCGGTGCAAAAGTAAAAGAAGTAAAACGGTTAAAAACAACAAGAAACGGAGAAAGATCTGACAGTTTATCTGTGCTAATTAAATTCGAAGAAGAGCAATTACCAAGCAAAGTATTCATCGGTTACATAAGCTATAATGTCAAAATCTACAATCCTCCACCATTGAGATGTTTCAAATGCCAAAAATTCGGTCACGTTGCAGCAGTTTGTAAAGGGAAACAGAGGTGTGGAAGGTGTGCAGGAGAACATGAGTACGGAAAATGTGGAAAAGAAGCTAAAATAAAATGCTGTAATTGTGGTGGAGAACATACTGCTGCCTATCGCGGCTGTGAAGCAAGCAAAAGGTCTGAGGAAATTAAAAAAATGAAATTTGAGCTCGGAATAACCTACGCTGAAGCTGCAAAAAGGATCCCATCTCAGTCAGAAAAACCCAAACCTACAGTTCAACACACAGCAAATTCCAAACCTCTAGAGAAATCTCCAAAAATTAATGAAGACTCACTTATTGTTAAAAAGACAAATTTTGTTCTTTTCATGGTAGAAGTAATTAATTGTACTGCACAGACAACAAAAAAAACGGAAAAAATCAAAATAATAGTGAAGGCTGCAGAAAAATATCTGGACATTAAAGATTTGAACTGGGAGATGGTTGGAAGTATGATGGGAGGACCGATGGGACCATCAGAAACTGGCAGAGTTAAGATGACCTAGAGTAAATTAAAATTATATGGGCAAATGTGATTTAGTATTATGTTGGTTTAAGTTACACAGGTTTTTTTTTTTTTTTTTTTTTTTTTTTTTTTTTTTTTTTTTTTTTTTTTTTTTTTTTTTTGGGGGGGGGGGGGGGGGGTGAATCGTTTTCTGTTTTCTTGCTTTACTCCATATCAGTTGGTGGCGGTAATGCACAATTCACAAGTCTGCCAACCGCCATAAAACCCCATAAGAAGAAGAAGAATAAAAGTTACATGCAAAGTGCCTCACCAGAAATAAGCCTCACCGTTTATTTTATTTAGTGTAAGAAGTACACGACATGGTGTCAGAAGAGGTCTTTTCTTACTCCACATGAGCCACGAGACTACAATAGTTTTCGTTAAATCCTCCGCTGTGGAAAGAAAAGTTTAGTCAAACGTCTGAGTGACCGAACGTTAGCGTTAGCCAGAGCTAAGCTACAATGGATCAGTTCAAGCCTCCAGCCCCGCTAGTGCTAACCGGCAACATCAGTGAGAATTGGCGCCGATGGGAGCAACGTTTTCAGCTGTACATGACGGCTACGGGAGCAAACACGAAAGCTGAACCGGTGAAGATGGCTATCATGCTGCACACGGTCGGCGAGGAAGCGCTAGAAATATACAACACCCTGGATGTGTTTGTGGAACCGGGTGAGGATGGACAGCCTGGTGAGCTAACAATGAAGGACGTCTTGGATGCGTTCAGAAAGTACTGCATCCCGAGAAAAACATTGTGTTCGAGCGTCACCAATTCTGGTCGCTCCCCATGTCTGAGGGAGCCAATGTAGATCAGTTCATGACTGAACTTCGTCAAAAATGTAAGAACTGTGAGTTTGGACTAACAGAGAATGACATGCTCAGGGATAAGCTCGTCTTTTCTGTCCCAGACGCTCGCGTGAAAGAGCGATTACTGCGAGAAACGGACTTAACTCTGGATAAAGCTGTCGACATCTGTAGAGCAGCTGAAGTCACTAAATCACAGATGCGAGCTATGAGATCAGCTCAGCCTGAGGCGTCCGTGGAAGCTCTCCACAAGGTGTCTCCCAGCTACGAGAAGGGGAGAGTTTCCATGAAAAACATGTCACGACCACATGAGAGAAAGACACAGGCAGCAAACAGAAATGTCAACACATGCAGAAAATGCGGCGGGGTGCATAAACCTCGTCAGTGTCCAGCGTTCGGTGTGATCTGCCACAACTGCAATAAGAAGAACCACTATGCAAAGATGTGTGCATCAATAAAAGACAGAGGAGCTACTGCCCGGGGCGTGCACGAGCTTGAGGTGGAGTCACTGTTTATATCAACAATGTCCTGTGTTGAACCCAAACGCACTCAGCAGGATAATTCGTGGTACACAACAGCCAACATCAAAAACACAGAGGTTGAGTTTAAATTGGACACTGGGGCAGATGCGAATGTGCTTCCTCTGAGCATGTTGCAGAAGATTCCGGGTCCTCATCAGCTGCAACCCACACGCATCGCTCTAGTTGCCTATGGAGGAACACGTCTGAAGCCAGAGGGCACCGTGAGACTTATCTGTGATGTGGGCAGGACGACGTCAGATCTTCTGTTCTTCGTCACTAAGCACTCCTCCACTCCGATCCTGGGCCGAGATGCATGTGAACAGCTGCAGCTGGTGAAAAGAATGCAAACCATCGAGGTCAAAACACCAGCCA